AGGTGTTGGGAGCGTTGTTAATGTTTGGAGAATGAGGGTTGGTGGGGGGGGGGGGCACATGTTTCTCCTATTTATTATTGCCCACATGTTCGCATTGTGTTGTTTCCCACCATTCAATCTGTGTGTGTATATATGTGTGTGTGTGTGTGTGTGGTGACTCAGCTGTACTATATCTGTCATCCATCTTTTCATCTGTCACAGGTGTTACCATGGCTACTACAGACTCACTGCTGTCTTTTCTTTGAGAAGGACTCAGGTAAGCTGTGGGAAGGGTGACTCATTCACCTTTAATGGGGGCATGCTCACTTTAATAGACAGTTTATCTTTTTACATCTTGTAACTGGCTTGCCAGTAGCACCGATTTGCTGGAATGAGACATTAGGGGGGCATTAACACTGGTCAGAAGGAGAAGCTGTGGGAAAGCTGTAGTTTCTTTTCTATTTTCACCAAGGGGACAGATTTTCTTGTAATCTTTTTTGACAGTGCTTTTCATCAAAACTTCTTCAGCCTTTTCAGAGGTCTTTCAAAGCCTTTCTTTGGGTTTTGGCTGCCGTTTTATTGAGTTTCGCAGCAGGCCCTGTGCCGGCACATGTCGTGCAGTGTTTGCCTAAAAACAATAAAGTGGACAGGGACGAAAACAAGAAAAAGGGAAAAACATCGAACTCAGATATGACACAAGACCCGAGAGATGCATCAACCTGGAACTGATTCTGCTGTACCTTTGTAATCTTTTCACATCGTGTCGCGTTACAACCAAACTTCATGGGATGTCAGACCAACACCAACTCAGAATAACACATAATTGTTAAGGGGCAGAAAAGAGTACATATATTGTTTTTTTAAGCATTTTTATTTATTTTTTAAATTGTCAGTAAATAAAAATCTGAAAAGTGTGGTGTGCATTTGTATTTGATTCTGTCAGTGTAGCTCATAATTCCCAACCCTAGACCAAAGCTTTCAAATACAAGTACCGTATTTTCCGCACTATAAGGCGCACCGGATTATAAGGCACATAGAATAGACGCTACAGTAGAGGCTGGAGTTACGTTATGCATCCACTAGATGGAGCTGCACAAAAGGGAATGTCAACAAAACAGTCCGACTCCAGTCAGCAAGTGAGGAGAGCCTTCTGTGACTGGGCCGGGGCGTGGCCGGATGAAGGTCACCCTTCTCCGTTCGCGCACAGCATGTTCATGGAGAACGTGGTGGTAAATGACCTGCAGACGACCTGATTCTAGACGGTCGGTAGGTAGATAGGTCAGTCAAACTTTATTAACAAACCAGCGTTCTGACAACTATCCCAGCATGCACTTCTTCTTCTATGGGCAAAATTAAATCGGCGGCTGCTTACCGTAGTTGCTAGAGTTGTCGTGGCTCAATATTGGTCCATATATAAGGCTCACCGGATTATAAGGCGCACTGTCGGCTTTTGAGGAAATTGAAGGTTTTTAGGTGCGCCTTATAGTGCGGAAAATACGGTAAACATTTGGAAGAAGGAGCTCTAGTAAAATGAGAAGAAAATAATATTTTGGCTATATTTACAGTGCACAACCTCAAGTTTTGTTGAAGTAACGTATAAACTTTAATATTTATCTAAATCAGCATACTAATCATTCACCAAATCTGCATATTTTGTGCAGCTGCTACTCACATTTTCTTTCCAGTTCTGCTAACTTGCTGTGAAATTGTTCAGCACACACTTCGATCTCCAAACACATTGTAAATCAAAAGTAAGCTGATGCTTATAGTGATGATAAATTGTTGCTTGTTTCTGTTAAATTTCTCTGTTACACTCCACCAAAGCCAGCTTCGTACCAAGACTCTCACGGCGATTAAAGAACGTTAGCAAATGTGAGATGGCGGCGATTTTGTGGTGTGTAAAGTAGAAAAATGTTGCTAGTCATTAATTAGTTTCACTCTGCGTGACGCCTTCTCTTAGCAGAGGTCAGAGCTCAGAGAAACATCGGAGTGAAAAACAACTACAGGGGTCTGCTGACTTTCTCCTGGCATATTTCGGGGTATTGATGTTGATCAAATGCTGCTTCATGGAAACACTGAGCTCAGATCGCGTCACTGCCCCCTTGATGCTTTTGAAGCCAAAGGCTAAGATGGAATCACCAAATATGGATCTAATTTATTCATTCGCCTTGAAATTATGTTTCCTCTGCATGGCACACAAATGAAGGACGCGAGAAGGAATGAAGGCACAGTCGTAGTAATCTTAATAACATTTCTCTATGTGTTCCTCGTGGAGTCAAGTTCTTTTAATTAGAGATGTAATGATCCGATACTTATGGCAGATTTTCAGTCTTATTTTTCGCAAAGCCCTGACCTGCCTGTGTTAATTTCTCATTTCTCTTTAAGAAAGTACAATTAATCAGTGTTCAGCGTATTTCTTTCTGGCCTTCCTGCTCTGAACGGTAATTAATCATTATAGAGGCCGAGGCAACGTCACACTTTTGGTGTCAGAAAGTAGTTGCTGTAAAACAAGGTGTTACTGCTTTTAAGAGACATAATTATGGAGTTCACATTTTATGTTAGCGATTGACACAAATATTAAGGTTAGCTTCAGTAGAATAGTAGTCTTTGTGGTTATTCTAAAACAATGTAGGGTAAGTCTGAGATTTAGTTTAATAGTTTAATTTAGTTTTAATAGTAGATGGTGTAGAAAGGAAATAACCAGCACCTGCCAAAATCCAACTTTATGTTAAAGCAGCCTGACTTCCTGGTCTTGGATGCTTTTATTGAATTTACACTTTCCTTCATTTCCTATTTCTTCAACATATTCTGCATGCTCTGACTAAAAATACGTCACTGATATTGAAAATAGCCAAATTTTGAGTCTTCTTTTTTCACAGTAACAACTGTGAATAGTTGTCGTTAGACCTGTTATGTTTACTGACTTGAAAAAATAAAAAAGATTTGATATGTTGAAACTCTAACCATTTGATTATTCTTAACTAGATGATTTCAAATTATTAGTTTGTCAAGTTTTCTGAAAAAATGTGGTAATTTTTAAGACATTCACAGCAATTTAAGTGCAGTTTCTTTCTTTCTAAACTACTCTTGTTCAATAAACCACTTACGTCTGACTAAAAACCATTTATGAAAATTGAATCGGTAAATTAATTTGTGTCACTCATATATAATTAGCTTCCTTTATTTAGTTGAATCTACAAACACAAATGTTTATCCCAGGTTACAATTCACGTAACTAAGCAAATAAATTTCTGCCTGGCAGAATGTTATTCCAAACACTCGTTTGCAATTGCGACATTGTACGTACAGCACTAATATTGCAATGATGGAGCCAAGATCTAGATAGAAAAGGCTTTCAAGGTCCTTCAGAAAGACTGAAGATATGTTGGTCGAGAGCACATTGAAAGATTACGTTGATCAATAATCAAAAAAAGATCAGATTTGGCTTGTTTTGCTAAGGTAGTAGCTGTCTTTCTTTTGATTTTCCATGTTATCTAAATGTCACTGTTTGTTTTTGCTGTTCAGTATTAAAATGGATGTAAGGTCCAACAGCGTTTGTTGGACTTGGACGAATAGTTGTGTGTGATAATCACGTTGTGTGAATGTCCCTTTTTTGTTTTACAAATGAGCTGACAGGGGAGATTCAGCCCACCTACCCACAGAGATTATCTGGGAGTTAATCATGTGTGGTGTCCCACTGCGACTTCACAGCCTTTGTCAGCAGGAAAACTTTTGCTGAAAGGAGGATAGATAGTGGAACGTCATTCCTTATTTGATGTGCACAACGTAAGGAATTGCCAAGAGTTTAATTGGCTTCATCAGCCACATGCAGAAGCTGCTCTTGATCACATCTTAGTCATCATTTTCTCAAGGTTGGAGAAGAATGTTAATGACAGCGTGAAACAGATAGTTTTAAGGAATATAAACCACAAATTGCGTGCGGCTGTTCCTGAATTTCTTTTTTTTTTTTTTTTTTTTTTGAGATGGGGTTTACAGTTCATAGATGAGGATCTTAAGAAATTGAAATCTCTGTTTGGGGAGGGTTTTAAAAATAATAATAATAAAAAAAACAGGACAGCACCACTAGGTGGGACTGTTTCATAACTCACATGCCTTGATCTTTCTAGTGATTCTCCAAATCTGACCAGTTTTACAACAGGCTATGAATTGATTTAGAGGGAAAACCTTGTAGGAATTACTTTTTTTCTGCTCAATACTTTTAGCACCCCAACTATTCAGCTGGGGGTACTGAAAAGTCTTTATGCAAATGAATAAGACCCAGCTTTGAAAGGAATTATTTAATTGTTCCATATATTTCTACAGATATGTTATAGTTTATGTTCTGAGGAATTGGTGGATTGACAACTTTGATTTTAAAGAACTAAAACTTGAACAAAGAAGTTTGAAGTTTCCAGCTTAGTTAGTGCTGACTGAATATTTGACCATTCACATTTGTTGCACTGATTTATTTAATTAGAAATGATTGTTTATGGGCTGCAGAGTGGCCTGGTTGCTAGCACTGTTGCTTTACAGCAACACAGGAAGGGTCTTGCTGGGTTTGAATCCTACTTTGGGGTATTTCTGCTTGGAGTTTGTCATTCATCGTGCCACCCAATGCACCAGTAACATCTGAAGTGAAACAGATCAACAGTATGATGCTATCACCACAGTGTTCGACTGTTGGTACTTTGGTCTTAGGTTGAAAAACCTCACATTGACTCCTCTAATTCTTTTCGTGATGAATAGCTACATTTATGTGAGAATATCACCAGAAGACATTTGGATTGTCCGTGTGTGGTGCTGCAAATCTCAACCAAGTTGAAGCTGTTCACTTTAAAACCAGTTAAATGTTAAATTCAGTCAATTTATAAATTATATTTAGCTGCAGCTTTGGTGCGTTTTGGTTGCTTTATACCACTCCAGCCAGTTTCCATTCATCTGATGGTGAAAAGGCAGATTGGGATAAAATCTAAAATCAACTAATTTTAACAAGCTTGAAAATTGTTTAACTATTTATCTTAAATTATAAAAACATACAATAAATTCAATGTTTTCACCACAGATACAAAAAAACAACAACAATGTAGCCATTAATCTACTGTCAGTTTAAGGAAGCAAAGTAAAGAAAACCAGTCACAGCTCCCAGAGATCTTAGACACTCAAACCTTCATCTATCTGCTCTGCTAATCGTTTATATCTGTATCATCTGTTGCTCACAGATCATTTTCCTCTCAAGCGGAGAAGTATTCTCCCGCTGAACTCATGCTGCTCAGAATACGAATGCTGCTTACATTAGATTCTAAAAATCAATAGGATCCTTTCCCAATCTGTATTAATTCCTCTCTCAGATTGTCTCTCAAGCTTTGAAGCTCTGCTTTTACTGCAGAATGAAGAGGATGTCGAAGGAGAAAGGACGTGAGGGGAATCTGAGGGCATTTACACTTTGAGATCAAGTCATGGGTGAAATGTGTGGTGCTAGTTTGGACAAAAGAAATTCAGACTTTTAAATGCCCACTGCTGCACTGAGCTTTGAAGTGCCGCACTGAGAGGGAACCACTAATTTTGGCTTTCTGGTTGGTCGTGATTCATTTTCTCAATGGACTGTGTGCCATTTAAACACCTGGAGGTGGAATACAAAACACGCCAGATCTCTGTGATGCAAGCTGGGTGCTTTACAAGAGCACGTAAAAAAGGACTTTTTTTTTTTCCCCCTTCCCAGAAAATGATGTCATTGCAGTGAGTGGCTTAGGTTTGGGGAGCTTTCATGTCATAATTAAAAGCGGAACATACATGAACACATGCAACGTTCGAAGAGCTTGGAAACGAGCTGAATTATGAGCATTTCGGTGCTTACTGCAGCCTCTGTGAGGAGGAGACTGTAAAGCAAACGCACGGAAATTGAGAAACGCAGACACAAGGAGGAGGCATGAGTGTGCATGCTGATTGGGATGAGAGTGCGTGGAGCCGCTGAGCTGCAGAACTTCCGAATCCAGCAGATGGGAAAGTCCACGTCCTGGCTTTGTGATGATCCGTGGGAGCAACATGCAACTCGCGCCGCTGCCTCGCACTGCTGCAGTGGAGGAGTAAATGCAGAGCCCGACACTGCTCCAGGTGATCCACAGCAGCCCAGCAGACTGCTCCCTCCTCAGCCTTCCCTCTCCTCTTCTTCCTCCTTCTCCTTCTTTACCTCCACCTTTTCCCTCCTCCACCTTTTCCTCCACCTCCTTCTCTTCTTCCTCCTCCTATGTCAGCGCTCCTTTCTTCTGTGGGCTTTGGAAAAGATAAGAAAGGAACAGAAAAAAACCACACACACAGAGGAGGAATCCTGCTTTCCCCCGCTGATCTCAAATGAGACACACCTCTGCATGACTATCAGCCGCTTCCCTGTCATCGTGTGAAGACGCGCCGCATATGTGCTCCAATGTCTCTGGAACATAGAGCTGCTGCAAGGTAGGAAGGCTCGGATCGATCCAGGGAAACACTCCAACACTTCTTTTCTCTGGTTTCTCTTTTCTAAAAGAAGATGTGCATCTGCTTCAGTCTTGCATGCATTTGAATTTAACAGGTAGAAGACAAGTTGCCATAGCAGATTAGGTAACCGGTATTCCTTGCGATTGATGGGAATCACAGAAAGCTGTCAGAGGCACATACATTTGCCTCTACTTTTAGGGGGAAATGCAGCTTTTTTTCTACCTCCCCCCTCATCGCTCGGAGGGATTTGCAAGTCTTGTGTGTTTGTGAATGTAGGCGTGTGAAACAGACTCAAGCAGAATGAGAGGAATTCATCCAGGCTTTGCGATTGAAAAAACAGATCTTACATATATATATATATATATATATATATATATATATATATATATATATATATAGAGAGGGGAGAGAGAGTCCCACATATATTTTTTTTT